GGTTTTTTTTGGGGGGGGGGGGGGGGGGCAGCCCCGGGTGGGGCCCACAGAGCCGTGCCAGCCTGTGTGCACCACACACACACTACACACAACCACCTGCACAGCACAAGCACTCCCAACACCTACCCAGGCACCCACACACCCACGCCTCCCCACCTCACCTTTGCCCAGAACTGCACCGTGTGGTTGCTCACATACTTCCAGTGCTTCTCGTGCCGGATGTGGCGGTCCACCAGCGGCAGGCGGATGGCGGTGTACAGCGCGTCGCGCACCTGCCGGGGGGCGTGGGAGGGGGTGTGGGGTCAGGTTGGGGTGGGGTGGGCACTGGGAGAGAGCATGAGGCGGAGGCCATGGAGCAGGGGAGGAGGGGGAGGCGGAGGTTTGCAGGATGGGAGCGTGCGGCTGGGGAGCACGGGAAAGCAGACACAGCAGGCACAGACGCAGGACCCAGCGCCGCGAGCAGCCCAACCCGCGGCAGGGAAGCGTCCCGCCGGCCAGCTGGCGCACCGCTTCTATGCTCCAGGGGTTGACCCGGATGGCTCCGGACAGCGAGGGCGAGCAGCCCACAAACTCAGACACCACCAGCATGGAGTGGCGCTTATCGGGGGGCGCCGCCTCCGCGCCACCCATGCCGCCCGCGGCGCCGTTGCCCGCGGCGGCGCCGCCCGCGGGCCCCTGGCGGCACACCACATACTCGTAAGGAACTAGGTTCATGCCGTCGCGGGTGGCCGTCACCACCACCACGTCTGCGGGGCGAGTGAGGGGAGGCGGGGGTGCGCGGCAGGGTGGCCGGGTCACGAGCTGGGACAGGGGGGCCAGCTGGGGGGCGCCCGGCGGCCGCGCCTGGAGCCATTATGGGGCAAGGAAGGGAGCCAGGGGACCGAGGCGGGCAGCAACAAAGAGCTGCGCGGGTCGCGAAGAGTGTGCAGCCGCCGCAGCAAGAAGCGCACCACGCGGGGCAAACATGCGGCAAGCAAGCACGCAGCACACGACCAGCAGGCACGCAGCAGACAAGCGAGCCCGCAGGCAGCAGGCGGCTGCGCACACACCAGCGATGGAGTAGAGGGCGATGCGCTCGTACAGCGGCACGGGGCGCTCCAGCCACACCACGGGCTCGTAGCCGGGCGCGCGGTACTTGGCGTTCACCGACTCCACCAGGTCCAGCACAAACCGCTGCAGCTCCTCAACATCCTTGCCGGGGGCCCTGCAGGGGGGCGGGGCGGGGCAGGGTGGTGGTGGTGGTGGTGGTGGTGGTGGTGGTGGTGGTGGTGGGGTTGAGAAGAGGGAAGGGGCGAGGGAGCGAGGGCAAGGAGGGAGGGAGGCGGGCGGGGAGCGCGAGCTGCACTGCTGCTGGGCGCAGAAGGAACTTGCAGAGCAGGCAGCAGACAGCTGGCGCCGCTGGCGCAGGCTCCAAGGGCCGCCCCGTGCCTCCCCGCCTCCCACCTACCTGGCCGCCGAGGTGACCTGCACCAGCACCAGCTTGCCCCGCCACTCGGGGTGGTGCGCCAGCACCTGCTCAAACGCCTGCGGGAGGCAAGGGGGAGGGAGGAGGCGGGCGCACGTCAGGAAACCGCTGCTGGCCCGGCAGGCGGGCAGCAGCTGCGAGGGGCCCTCCACTCAACCTCCTGCCGCCCTGGACACAGGGCGTGCGGTCCTGGGCTTGAATGGCGGGGGTCTGGGGCACAAAGTCTTGCGCAGGCAGGCGCCGGGCTGCCACACAGGGGAGCCTGCTGGCAGCCGGGGCACACGGCATGTACCACACCCAACACCCGCTCCCTCAGCCTCCCTGCCTATCACTCCAGCACTCGTTCACACACACACACACACACACACACACACACACACCAGCCCACCTGCAGCTTCAGCTCGATGCCCTTGAACACATCCATGTCGTCCACGCCCAGCAGCACCGTCTTGCCCTTGAACTGCGCCGCCAGCTCGCCCTGCCGCCAGATCGTGTCGCTCCACCCAAACCCGCTCAGCAGCCGCTCCGGGTTCACGCCTGTGCGGCGGCGCGGGGGCCGCGGGGAGCCGGAGCGCGGCGCTCGGCTTGGGCCGTCCGTCCACACTCTGCCCCCAGCGCTGCCGCTCTTCCTGCCTCCCACCCCACACCCACCCCACACCCCACACACTCACCAGTGGGCATGATCTTGATGCCCACATCCCGCCCGTAATACTCCACTATGATGGAGCCCCGGTTGGTCTTGTGCTCCAGCCCCAGCATGCGGGAGCAGCAGGAGAGGAAGTGGCGGGCGTAATCAAAGGTGTGGAAGCCGATGAGGTCTGCGGGGGGCAGGGGGTGTGGAGGAGGCAGGCAGGAATGAGGGAGGGGGAGGTGGGCAGACGTGGCACAGGAGGGCGGCGACGCGGCTCAACAGCCGGGCTAGGGGTGCGCCGCGGACAGGGCCAGGCACCGCGCGAGGCGGGCGCGACCCTTTCTTTGTGCTGCTGGGCGGCGCTGGCAGCTGGCTCTGGCCTCCCTAGACACAAGAAGCACAAAGAAGTGGAGCAGGAGAGGGAGGGCACGCGCCTGCGTTCAGCATGGAGCGGATGACCTCCTCCCGCCGCGGGAAGGTGCGGAAGATTTCGGAGGAGGGGAAGGGGGAGTGCAGGAAGATGCCGCACCTGCACGGCGGGGTCGGCGTGGGTAACGTGTCAGCGCTCAGGGCGAGGCGTGGCCCGAGAATGACAAATCGAAACAACAGGCGCGCTGGGAGGGCAGCAACCAACAGCTGCCCTAGGTACTGCAACGGCTGCCTACTGCGGCGACGCAGCAGCGATGCGGAGCAGGAGCTGGCGCCAGGCACCGCCCGCCGCGGCAGCCCGCGCACTTGATGCGGTGGAACCTCTTGCGCAGCAGGGAGGGCAGCACCAGGAGGTGGTAGTCGTGGATCCACACGTAATCGTCCTCCAGGCTGCCCAGCACCTGTATGTGTGTGTGTGTGTGTGGTCAGGCGGCAGCAGGCGGGTGGCTGGGTGGGGCAGGGGAGAGGGAGGGCCACCACAGCTGTACCAGGTCGTTTGTGCGGTACCGGCAGCTGTCGAGCGGCAGTGCGGTACATGCAGCTGTACCGCCGCACGCACCTCCACCAGCTTGTTGGCAAAGGCCATGTTGGCGCGCACATAGGCGCTCCACAGGTTGGGGTCGAAGCGGCCCAGGCTGTTGGGGCTGAGCGGGATGAGGTAGTGCAGGATGGGCCACAGCTGCTGCTTGCAGAACTCTGCGGCGGGGGCGGGGCACACACGCACACGCGCAACGACACACGCTCGGCGGATGGCGGGGGCACAGCCGCGGCAGGCAGCAGCGCGCGTCGATTCGCTGCCACCCAGTACGGCCCAGCAAGCAGCGCCAGGTTCCCGCGCAGCGCCGCCGCATAGCGCCGCGCCACACGCCGGCCCCGCCCGCCCGGCTTGGCCCGCTGGCTCACTCTTGTAGAAGTTGGTCTTCAGCTCCGCCCCCAGGAACACCGGGTGGCAGTTGAACTCAGACATGAGCTGCTGCGTGACATCCTGCACGGCACGAGGCAGACAGACAAGATTTCAAAACCCAAAGCCAGGGCAGGCCAGCGCTATGCCCGCTGCCCTGCTCAACGGGCACGTGTCAGCAGGCGGGGGGAGGGCGGGTGTGGAGAGCGCCGGGGCAGCGTGCCAATGCGTGCAGGCCATCGAATGCACGATCCCCAAATGTGCCAGCCATGCAGCTCCCCCACAGTTCCAGGCCACAGCGCCAGCATCCACACAGGCAGCAGAGGGCAGGGCGCACAGCCGCAGCAACAGGCGGCAGCAGAGGCGGGGGCGGCGGCGCCGAGCGGCGCCCGCTCGCCCGGCGGTGCACGGCGTGGCGCTCCGCGCCCGTGTGCGCCTGCCCTCTGCTTGCACCGCTCCATCAGCTGCACCAGGTTCCCCTGCAGCAGCAGCAGGCGCCACCCACCTCCTGCTCGTGCCCCTCTATCTCTACAGGCAGGCAGCCGACATAGACGGCGTCCATGTCGTCGGGTAGGCCCTCCTTGGCCTGCAGCACCAGGGCGTCCGGGTCCCACTCGAAGCTCCATCCCGACCCCTCGTCCTTGCTGACCTTGAGCGGAAGGTGATTGGTGACGAAGATCAGCCTGCGGGGAGAGGGTGGGCAAGAGCCGGGGGGGTGTCGGGCTGCAGTGTCGCAGGGCCGCCATCAGGCTGCCACAGCGCCACCGAGACCCACCTGCTTGTCTTCCTGCCATCGTCCTCGCACATGGACGTCCGCGAGCCCTTCACCACAGCTGCTTGCGACAGGGGCCCTCCTCCCTGCAGCTCGCCCATGCTGCCTCCAAAATCGCCTGCCGCCAGTGCGGCCAGGTTGGAGAAGGACTTGCGGGAGAACTGCATTTCGCGAGTTCAGCTGGGCCCGAGAGCCCGGGCTCCCCCCGGGCGAGTGTGCGTTGCCAGGAGCAGATGGATGGCTGCAGCGGCGTTGGAATGCATCTGATCCAGCAAGCGCCGTTGCGGGGTTGATGGCCGGCCATGAGGCCCGCCGCCAGGCTGGACGGGAGGCCAGGGGATGTCGCCAGGCTGGTTCTAGTTGCAAGGTACATCTGCAGCTTGGTTGCCTCCTCAAACGCATGTTGGCATGACAACAAACTCGGCCTTAAAACAAACTTTGGAGATCTGGAACGACCCGCAGGCATTCCCAGCTGTGCCGCGGCAACCCGGCACGCCACACCCGCCACCCGCCCCACCCCACCCTAGCGTCCAGTGCCGGTCATATCAGTGGGCTGAAGCACCCCCTGGCCGACACAAAGAATGTCACAGTTGGACTGACGGCACGACTGGATTCGGTGGGCATGTATTTTCTGGAGCTTGGGCCCTCCCGCTGCTCATCTTCCCAGAGCCACCTTGCCCGATTCCTTCTCTCCAGCAAACTACGGCAACTTACACATCGCGAAACAACAAAATGCTGGGATGCCCAACAACAAAAAAGCAGATAGTGAGACTCGTGGGTGTGTGAGACGCGCTGTCAAAGGCGACACGTGGCTGCCGCCCGCATCCCGCCAGCCAACCATAAGGAGGACGCCACCTCCGGCCGAACCGGGGCACCCCCCGGGCTCAGCGGCCGCCCTTGTAAGGCGAATCGTAGTCGCCCTTCTCAAAGCTGTCGTGCAGGCGCTCTGGACCCTGGTCCGCCGCACGGACGGCCGCCACCACGCGCTGCATGGTGGGCCGCTGCTTGGCGGTGGCAAAGCCCTGCAGGCGGAGGCCAGGCGGGTCGGGTGGCCAACCATGGAAGCCCAGGCAGCACCCAGGGGCTCGGGGTTCAGCCAGGAGCAAGGCCTGGGGCTGCTGCAGTGCCCCCACACCTGTCCACGCGTGGGGTTGAGCGAGGCGGAGCGCTGGAGCGACTGCGGCATGCCGTAGGTCCCCTCAGACAGGGAGTTGTTCCTGCAGGCAGACCGGCCAGGCCGGGGAGGGAGCCGCGAGGCGGCAGCTGTGGGGCGGGGCGAGGGCGGACCTAGGCTGCGGCATACGTAGGCTGCAGCGGCGGCGCGGGCATGCGGATGCAGGCTGCAGTCGTTGAGCTGCTGCAAGATGGCCACGCAGCTGCGCAGCGGCAGGGCACCAGGCGCAACACAGGGCACGAGGCGCCCAATCAAAGGCCCTTCCAGTATTCCTCTCCTCCCCACCGTGCTGATGATGCCCCGCCCTACTCCCCTGCTCACAGATAGTAATCGGGTTCGGTGATGGAGGAGTAGCGCGGGCCCGCGGCGGTGGCACGTGCAGACGCCGTGTAATCGTAGTTGGCCTCGCTCAGGCTGTCGTGCAGCAGCGGCGGCTCCATGCCCGCCAGCTGACGCCGCGCCTGGCGCACGGCCGCATCCCCAGACAGCGGCCGCTCAGTGCTGTCGGCGGCGGCTTGCTGGCTGGCCGCGTCGGCGGCCTTGGTGGCCAGCCCACGCAATGCCCCAAGCCCTGCAGGCACAGGCAGGCGGGAGGTTGGCCACCAGGCGGCGGCGGCGGCGCCCACAGGCAGGCGGTGGCAACGCGCTCAGCACCCCCGGGACGCACCTGTCGCGACTGCAGTGCCCTGCAGCGCAGTCGTGGCGCGAATCAGCATCGCTGGGTGTGAAAGCGGCAGCGCGTGGGGTGACTCAAAGTGTCGGAGACTCGGTGGCCGCCCGCCCAGTGTCCAGGCAAGGTCTGAAAGGCTGCAACTGAGGTTGGAGTATAATAAGAGGCGAGCGCGTGGCGGTGATGTGTCAAACCCGCCTGCCAGCTAGATGTGCCGTGGCACCGCCCATGTCGGATCTCGGGTGCACTGCCCAATTTAGGCTGCTGATTGACCTGAAGACATGTGTACCGATCTAGAGTTTCCCTTCGCGGCCCCCCGACCAAACAGGGAGGCGACGGGTGACGCACGCCGCCGCCAGGCGGGCAGCGGTGGCAGCTACCGCTGGAACGTCACGCACAGCGCCCAGCAGCCGTACTTACAAGATGAGAGGGACAGGGCAGCAAAGCCAAAGACTCACTTCGCGGTAGAATTCATTCTGGGCGATGGGGGGATCAGATCAATGCAAGGGGTTCGTTTCAACCAGCAGGCAGGTGCGGTGCCGGCACCGCCTCACGTCTCGCCCTTCATGAACACGCGCAGCTCGCCCTGCGGGTTCAAGGCAGGCCAGGGGGCGCCCAGACGTGGGTTGAATGCACACTTGTGTATGTGTGCCTGTGATGGGGGCGGGCATATTTCTGGCTGTCATGATCCACAGGCTGCAGACAGTGCTGCAGCAACCCAATCCACTGGGCAAAGCACCGAGGGTGTGCTCACCCTGTCGCCACGGGTGATGCGCATCTGCTCATCCAGGTAGACGACATCAAAGCGTGCAGAGCGCAGGCGCTTGGGCGGCTGCACGCATGACGGCATGGTGGCACACAACGGGCGCTTGGGTGGAGGCAGCATGCGCCGCAGCACGCTGCCACCTGCCCCTCGGCACGCCAGCACGCTGCTGCTGCAGCCAGCGCCCTGCCGCCGGCTCCACAGTCCCCACCTGCAGGGACTCTGGCAGCTGGGGCAGAGTAAACTGGGGCAGGGAGTCGAGCCAGCCGCCCAGCCCGCCCGCCAGCTTCACTTCCGTCTCGTTGAAGGTTATCTCAACGGTGTTGGCGCCGATGACAGAGAAGGTATGCTTGAGGCTGGCGTGGGCGGTGGGGGTGGCCGCACTCAGGCCTGCACCGCGCACATGGCCAAGCGGCCAGCTCAGCGAGGCGGCAGGAGGCTGGAGGGAGCAAGCGGGAGACGGCGCGCTGGACTGGAAGGTTGGTGGCAGATGGCCTCAAGGGTGCATGGCCAATCACCCCAAGCAGGCAAGTGCAGCCATGCCGCCGCTGCTGCTGCTACATGCTGCTGCCAGGGACGAGCCGGCGACTCACCTGGCAGGGGCAGGGTGGCCAGGCTGTAGCGCAGGAACAGGTCCACCACATTGTCCAGCTCCGAGCGGTCGGTGGAGATGTCTTGGTAGACTGGAGAAGGGGAGGTAGGAGGGCAAGAGGGTGGTCGTGCACATGCATGCCACGACCGGGAAGCTGCTCTGCCCACGGCACGGCGGTACCTGCCCTACCGGCGCCGGCCTCCCACTGCTGCCGGCCTCCCGTCCGCCCCTCACCTTGCCCCAGCGTGAACGGCCCCGAGCCAAAGGAGGGGCCCGGCCTGCGGCCGCCCAGGCTGCCCGAGGCGAAGCCGCTGCTGTACAGCAGGCGCCAGCGCCCGTCCAGCAGCGCCATGGTGGGCTTGCCGCCGGCGGCTGCACAATAACTTGCAGGGGGGCAGACGGCACGAGCTGTGAGCGAGGGAAGCTGAAGCTGCGCAAATGAGCGCAGAGACTGCTGAGACAAGTGCGGCTCCTCCACACGCTCCCCACCGCAATGTTCCCACGTCCCGCTGACGCGCACGCCTGACCACGCCGCATGCCACTCGCCTGGTGCCTCCCAAGACAGCGCCACCGCCCCGCCCAGTCGCTCCAGGCGGCGCGCCAGCTCATCCACCCTCTGCGCCTGGTCCTCTGTGGCGGCCGCGCCTCGATCCAGGGATGCCAGCATGCCCACCAGCAGCTTCTGGGTGGCCGCAATCTCGGCATCACGCGCCTCTGCCGTGGCGGGGAGCGGGACGCTGTCGGCAGGAGGCGGGGACGGCGGCGGCGGCGGCGCCGCAGCGGCTGCCGCCGCGCTGGCGGCCTGCTGCTCCACCGCCTCTGCTGCCGCCTGCACGGATCCTGCCACGTCGGCAGCGTCACTGGCCATGTCGCTGGCTGCCCCCAGGGCCGCCTCCACCGCCTGCTGCCCCGCATCCTGCACCGCGCTCTGCACCGAGGCGGCCACATCAGCGGCGTCGCTGGCGGCCCCCAGCGCTGCCTCCGTCGCCTGCTCCCGCGCATCCTGCGCGGCGGTCTGCAGGGCCGCCGCCACGTCGGTGGCATCGCTGGCCACGTCGGCAGCCCCCTCTGCGGCCTGCTCCCGCGCATCCTGCGCGGCGGTCTGCACCGAGGCCGCCACATCAGCGGCGTCGCTGGCCACGTCGGCGGCTCCCTCTGCGGCCTGCTGCTGCGCATCCTGGGCGGCGGTCTGCACCGAGGCCGCCACATCAGCGGCGTCGCTGGCCACGTCGGCGGCTCCCTCTGCGGCCTGCTGCTGCGCATCCTGGGCCGCCACCTCCACCGCGCCAGCCACGTCAGACGCATCGCTGGCCACATCCTCTGCCACCTGCTCCACGGTCGCAGGCGCCTCCTCGCCGCCGCCGCCGCCAGCCTTCTTCCCGGCCTTCTTGCTGCCGCCCTTGCCGGGATTGCCTGCCTCCTGTGCCAGCGGCTCGCCTGCCCCCAGGGGCTCTGGCTGGGAACCTGCACGGCATGCAGGCAGGGCCCCTGCAAGGTCAGCACGCTTCTGCGCCCAGCCCAGCCTGCGCTAGAAGGCTATAGCAGCGGCGGCATTGGGCCGGGTGTGAAGGAAACAAGCGGGAGGGTGGGTAAAAAGATGGGATCGCGTGCCGGGAGCCAGAGCGCGGCCAGCGCGGTGTGCCTGGGAAGGGGTCCTGAGAGGCGTGCTCCACCGCCACCGCTCCCGCCTCGGCCTCCGCCACCGCCTGCCCATCTCCTTCCACCGCCGCCGCCTCGGCTGCCGTCTCCCCGCCAGGCGTGTGCAGGCCGATGCTGACGCTGCTGCTGGCGCTGCTGCTGTCTGTGGTGCTGGTGGAGAAGCGGCCCTGGAGCTCCAAGCGGCGGGCTGCCACGGCGCGGAACCACCGCAGCACCACATCCACTCGCTCCCCGCCGCTGTCTGCCTCTGCACCGGGGTAGCCCATGGCATGCTGCCCCGCTGGCTGCTTGCAGGCCGGATTGCGTGTTGGTGCACTTGAGTGGGCCGATGGAGTGGCGGAGGCGAGGCGAGGGGCGGCTGGGCGGCTGACGGTGTGGGCGGAGGTGGGCGGTGGGCCTGCAGGGGCGCGGCTGCGTGCAGGGCTGCATGGATCGCTGCCTAACACTCACCGCTGGTGTCCTTCTGCGCGTGGAGCGCCAACCATCCACGCCTGCCCGACTGCCGCAATGCGCCAGTGGGGGCCGCCCTGCCCGCCTTGCCGGGCCTCGGGCTGTGGTGCTGTGCACTAATTGCCAAGCGCTGCTGCACCAGCTTCACGGACCCACATGTGGCCTGCATGGTGCGAGTTCAACTAAACCCTGCTGCTCCAACGCCCTAGGAAGTGCACCGGTTCAATGGGGAGCACGATCCAATGGAGCGGTTCCTCTGAATTTATAGGTTTCGTTGATGGGAAGTTGCAGCCTGGCGCCAGCGTGTCCCGAGATGCAGACGAGAGAGAGCGCTTGCAGGCGGTAGGATGCGTGCTGGCGGCTTTGTGGTAGCTTGCTGATCCATTCAGCCGCGCAAGAGAGCCTGTTCCCACCGCACCGAAAATTTCCCTGTCCAGCTCCTTGCCGGAGATGCTCAGTCTTTGAATGCAGTGATCTGAGCCAATCCATCGAGACTGGACTTTCAAAAGCCGAGCGGCTATGCCGCCGTCGCCAGCCACGGGGGGCTCCCCCCCAACGAACGCGGCTCAAGCCAGGCCCAGGCCCCCGCCCCTGTTCAATGTGAGCTCGCTGCGTGAAGGAGCAGGCCGTGGGAGCCCCCCCTGCATTGCCCTGCACACCTCGCAAGCCTGGAGGCAGGGCGAGACGGTGCTGCCGCCCGCTGACTGCCGCCGCGACCGACACCGCTGTTTTGTTCTGCAGGTGTCGAGCAATGAGGCAGGCTGGCAGGCAGCGATCCACACGGTGAGCACCCGCCTGCCTATTGCTGCCGCCGCATGTGGCAGCACCTGATCGCCCCAGGGCTGGCATGGAGCTGCGGAGGTTTGGCCCCGCAACCGTTGCGTTCCCAACCGCCCCGCCTGCACCAACCACCTCACCTGCCAAACGCTTCTCCCATCGCCCCCTCTGCCAGGTGGTGCACCGCGTGGGCCGCCACTTTGGCTTCCAGGCGTTCAATCTGGACCCACGGTCAGAGGTGAGCAAGCAGACCCTGTGCCGCTGCTGCTCCAGGGGTGGGCAAGCCTGCCACATGGGCTGCACATTCACATGCCGCTTACCCGTTCTGCGCAAGCCCCTGCCTCCACCTCTCTCACCCTCGTTCCTCCCACTCGACTGCTGCCCCACCCCCTGCCCCGTGCAGGCGCGCGAGCCCACCTTCATCCCCGCCACCATCTTTTTGGTCACCGACCACCTGTACCACCTTCTGGTGAAGAACTACATGAGGCGGGACAAGGCCTCGGGTGGGTGTTGTGCGCTGCTGGTAGGGAGGCTGCAGTGTCTCAGTGTCTGGGTGTGGATGTGCATGCGGTGCGAGTGGTGTGTGCGCTCGGAATGGAAACAGGGCATCGGCAAGCACCAGGGCGTGTGCAGGCCTGGGCCGCTGGCTGCTGGCGCTCTGACAGCGCACCTGCCCCTTGCGCCCCTGGCGCCCCACCCACCTCGCCCCGCCCCGCGCCAGGCACGGACGAGTACCGGTGGACGCGGTCGGTGTACCGCCTGCATGCCACCATCTTCCAGGGGTACCGCGACTGGTGCCGCCACGTGGACCTGCCCGAACGCATCAAGGAGCTGGCGCTGGAGGAGCTGCGCAAGGGCGGCGAGGCCGTGGTGCGCGCCTCGGCAGCTGGCCTGGTCAGGCCTTGTGTCTGGCCACCCGGGATGCTGCCTGGGGGCGGCCGGCTGCTGCGGCCGTCCCCCACGGTGCTGCTGCTGTGCTACAGTGCCGCCTCGGCGTGGCAGCGTGCACGCCCATGATCGCTGCGTACCGCCCGGTACCGCACGGTACCACCGTGCCGCAGGAGTGGGAGTACCTGCTGGAGGAGCTGTCCCTGTACTTTCTCATGTACAGCGAGGGCGCCAACCTGCGCCACACACCCGAGGCCCTCTGGTTCCTCTTCTGGTGCCTGCGCAACAGCCACGAGAAGCAGATGCAGATCACGGTGCCGCCGCCCAGCGACGCCCGCTCAGCCTCCTACATTGGTGCGCCACTGGCTTGGGGGGCGGGGCGGGGTATTGGCGTGGGTGTGGGTGGTGCCGGCCTGCGCAGATAGGGCCTGGCCGGCACTGTGCATGCTTCCAAGCCTGCAAGCGCGCACCATCACGGCGCGCCCAATCCCAAGGCACCCCCCACACTCACACGCGCAGCCCGGACCCCTGAGCTGGCCAAGGACCTGATGAAGCTGCGCATCCACCTACGCAACAAGTACCAGCGCCAGATCTCGGCCTGGCGCCAGGAGCAGGGCGCCAAGCCCGACGGCGAGATGCGGAGCATCAAGGAGCTGGTGGGTGGGGGCAGGGGCGGGGCTGGAGGAGCCTGTCCGCCCTGCCTGGCTGGAGGCATTGCATAGGCATGCATGCATATGCCTGCCGCGCACGAGAGAAGTGCCGGAGGCTTCGGCTCCAGGTGGCGCAAGCCGCTCGCGCCGCGCCGAAGCTCCCCTTCCGACGGCGGCCTGCCCATGCTGGTGCCTGGGGCCCCTTGGCAGGCCGACATCCACACCGCGGCCAAGGCGGGCATCACGGCATCGGCCCTGTTCGAGGGACGGGGCAGCCGGGAAGTCAATATGGTGGCGGAGATGGTAGCCTATGGCGACTCTGGGGCATACCTGGACAAGGTGGGTGGCGTGTGGGGGGGTGGTGGGGCGTGCCTGGCTGTGTGGTGCTTGCCCACCCGTCTTGCCCACCCACCATCGCACATTGCCCGCTTTCGTGCCTCCCTCTCTCTCTCCCTCCCTCCTTGCTCCCTCCCACACACACATGCACACACACACCGTCCTGCCGTCCTTCCTGCAGCTGGTCACCCCTATCTTTGCCTTTTTGGCGGTGGAGGTGGACCGCAAGGGCACCAGTGGCGTGGAGATTGCGGCGAGGGTGACGTACGACGACGTCAACGAGAGCCTGTGCATGCCGGGGGTGGTGCACAAGGTGGGAGCCAGGGGCCGCTGGCGGGCCTGGCCGGCAGGCACGGGTGGGCAGCCAGGCTGTTTTTTGTCGGCGGCTAGCGTGGCGGCGCGCCAGGCTGGGAGGTGGGGCCCGGCGGCGGAGCTGGCTGGCTGGCGGCTGGTGGTGCTGGGTGGGCGCGCCTGGGCCCAGCCCCCGCCGACGCATTCGACCGCCCCGCCTGCTGCCTGCGGCCTGCTGCCCCGGTCGCGCAGACGCTGGCGCGGCTGGGGGTGCAGTGGGACAAGAAGACGCGGGGCATCCGCGTGCCCAAGGACCTGTACACAAACCTCATGGCGGTGGGCAGCGTGGAGATTGTGACGAGCGGCAGCGGCGACGGCGGCGACGCCAAGCCGCCCGCGCCCGCGCCCGCCCGCCTCAGCTTCGACGCCGCCTCCGCGCGCGACTGGTGGGGCGGCTTTGTGTTTGGCAAGACGTACGTGGAGCGGCGCAGCCTGTTCACGATGTACAGGCGAGTGGCGGGGCGGAGGTGGCGGCATTGCTGGCTGGGCAGCCGTCAGGAGCAAGCAGGTCACAAGGGAGCGGGACCCGGCACACCTTGGCTGCTCCTGCCTCCGCCTTGCCCGCCACTGCGGCCACCACCACACATCTGCATGCGCATGCACACATTCGCCGCCTTGCCAACACACTCTCAAGTCCCCGAGGTGTTGGTTGCACAGCCTCACACCTTCCCATGCTGTGCTGTGCCGCGCTGCGCTGTGCTGTGCAGGACCTTCTTCCGCATCTGGGCCTTCCTCATCCTCGAGTTCCACTTCATGTGCGTCATGCTGTGGGGCTGGCCCGCCACCAAGCGAGGCTCCTACTACGCCCTCTGCTCCGTGCCCTGCAACCACGCCTTCCTGTCGCTGGCAGAGCAAGTGGCGGGCGCCTGGACGCAGCGCGCGCCGGGTGGGTTCAAAGGGCGTGGAGCGCGCCTGGAGGGGCTGTGCGGGGCGGCCGGCGTCTGCGGATGGGCGTGCCGGCGCGCTCTGCTCTGCCCGCACGTCTGCCGAAACTCTGGCCCCTGTCCTCTGCCCGAGCGCTGCCGTCTGCTCCCTCCACTCTCATCGCTGCCGCCGGTCCGTCCTCCGCTGCCTGCCTGCCTGCAGCCAAGGGCATCCGTGTGCTGGGGCGCCCCTTCTGGGGCCGCTACAGCCACGGCATCATCGACTGGCTGGCGCTGAATGTGGTGCTGTACCTGGCGCTGACGGCGCAGGTGGGGCCAGGGTTGGTCGTGAGGCAGGGCTGGGCAGGGCTGGCGGTGGGTCGCATGTGGGCGGGGTGGTGGGAGGGTGTGGGATAGTTGGGGAGCGGGACCGGCTGGGCTGCATGCCCACACCCACCAGGTCCCCAGGACTCCTCCACCCTCCCATCTCGGCTGCCCCTCCCTGTGCCCCCAACCACCTCCGCCTGCCCCATGCGTGTGGGGCCTCCTGTCAGCCTCCTGGGCCCTTCCCTCCTGCCCCAATCTACAGCCATGTGCCAGTTGTCAGTGACGTTGCGCCCGCCACAGCTGAATCATGTGTGCGCCCCGCTTCCCCACCCCGCAGCTCACCGGCTTCTTCTCCTTTGACATCTTTTACTACGTCGTCATGGGGTACAGCGGGCTGGTGGTCGTCCACGCCGTCGTCACCACCCGCGACGGCTACTGCGTGTCGCTTTCCAACCAGCTGGGCGCGCGGCTGCGGCGGTGGCGCCGCGACCCGCGTGCCTGCTGCGGCGCCGCCTGGACGCCGCTCATCTGGCTGCTGGAGCGGGTGGGGGCGTCCTCGGCGCGCCCCGTGCCGCACGAGTACCTGGCTCCCTACCACATGAAGGCATGCGGGGCACGCGTGTTGTGTGTGTGCGTGTGTGCGTGTGTGTGTGCGTGTGTGCGCTCGGGTGTTGAGGGTGTGAAGTGGTGTGGGTGTGTACCCACTCGATCCGCCTCGAGCCTTGCCAGCCAGCCAGCCGCCACAGCTGCTGCCAGGCCGCCCCTTGCTTCCCTGCCTTGCCTCCTCGCAGACCGGCTGGTCCAACTTCTTCAGCAACCTGGTCTTTTGGGTGCTGGTGCTGGGCGCCAAGTTTGCCTTCGACTGGTGAGCCAGCGGGGCGCGCCCGGCCACCTCCCACCCGCTCTGAGCTCCCCTCCGCTGCTTGCCCCCTGCTGGGGCTGCAGCGCTTGTGTCTTCGCAGGGGCAAGCCTGCATCACAGGCTGCCACCGCCGGCTGCCCGTCACCTCCTCCCATCCCATCCCATCCATTCCCATCCCATCCCATCCCATCCCAACCCATGCTTGTTGCTCCATTGGCGCAGGTACGCCCTGATGAAGCCCCTCAAAGACCCCGTCATCGCTCTGTGGAACTTCGACTGGCTGCGCAATGGCGACAACTGGGGTGACGCCGACGCCATCCTGGTGGTCGCCCGCTGCCTCCCCTCCTTCCTGGTCATGATGAACGACGCGCAGGCGAGGCAGCGGCTGGTGATGGTGTGTGCGTGTGTGTGTGTGTGTGTGCGTGGGTGGGGGCTGCGCGGTGTTGTGAGTAGGCGGTTCGTGGGCAGTTGATTGCGCTGGGCGGTGGGGTTGCGGTGGGCGTGGCGGGAGATGCTGCTGCTGCTGCGTTGCATGCCTGTCCTTGCGACGCGTGTCGCCAGCACGCGGCCGCCAGCCAGCGGGCATCGCTGGCCTCCGTGCGCCACACCCGCCCGCCCGCTCCCCTGCGCAGGTCTTCTACTACATCATCATGGCCCTGTTTGGCTCCATCAAGGGCATCGTGCAGCTCAACCTGGGGTCGGTGTCCACCTTCCAGGTGGGGCGCTGACGTGGCCCTGACGTGGCGGGCACGCTGACGTCGCACGCGCACCTCTGGCTGGGCTTGAGTGCTGCGTCTGGCAAGCAAACGCTTGCCCCGCCGACAGGATTGCACCCTACATGTGTGCGGACGCGGGCTGCAAGCCAAGCGCCCCCCCCCACACACCCCCGCCCCCCTGCTGCCGCCCCCTGCCTGGCGTGGCGTGCAGGAGGTGGTGGTGAGCTTCCACAAGGCCCCCAAGCGCTGGTGGGATGCCTGCACCTCCAAGAAGGGCAAGGAGAACCTGTTCAAGTGAGTGGGTGGCAGGAGGGTGTGGGCACGTGTGTGTGTGTGAGCAGGCGGTGGTGACGGTGACGATGCGGGAGGGATGGGGTCGTCTGCCTGAGGGATGGTGCGGGGCCGGGTGCTTCGATGTGCATGCCCCGGTGCTGCGCACCCTGCGCTGTGCTGCTTGCATCAGGCAGCCGGCGACAGGGCGCATGGCCGCCGCTCTGCACCCCACCCCTTCACACTGTCACATTGCACACTCCACCCGCATGCCCCATCCACCCCCGCAGCGCCATCGACGGCCTGACCAGCGGCGGCACCACGGTGGCGCGCCGCGGCGGCGGCGACTACTCCGTGCCCGGCGTGCACGTCAACCAGGACGCGCTGGCAGCGCTGACCGCCAAGCGCGCCATGGACCGCACCCGCCTCAGTGCCACCGAGCGCCTGCTGCAGAACACGCAGGACATGGTGAAGCAGAGCGAGGCCAAGAAGGGTGAGGGGCGCAGCGGGGCAGCGTGAATCACTGCACACGGCTGGGATGGATTGGCTGGGCTGGGCTGGGCCAGGCATGGCGTGCCTTGCATGCCACAGCCCAACCCCACCCTTCCCAGCCATCAGTCCCCTCTCTCTGCTGCCCGCCACCCACCCACGCACACCCACCCACACCCACATGTGGCGCAGTGCTGACGTACTTTGAGGACAACCGGGTGGCCATGTGGCTGGTCTTCTCTGACGTGTGGTGAGGGCCGTGTGGGGTGGCCGCCACCCAGGGCACAGGGTCGCATACCGGCGCCCTTGTCCAAAACCGCTGACAACTACAAGCATTTCCGTGGCTACCTTGCCGCCAACCCTGCGTGTTGTTCTGATGGCTGCCCTCCCTTGCCTCCGCCTCGCGCCTCTGCGCCCCAGGAACGCCATCGTGGAGGAGCTGCGGGCGGTGGACCTGGTGTGCGACGGCGAGCGCGACAACCTGCTGTTTGTGCACCTCGACATCGACCCGACCATCGAGATACTGGAGGGTGGGGCTGGGCTGGGCGGCGGGCTGCTGGTGGCGGCGGTGTGGTACTGCCTGCTGAGCTGCCTCTCCTGCCCCCCAAACCCTACACGCTCCAGTCCACCCAGCACCCTGCCCCCACCCATCCCCCCCCCCCCCCACACACACACACATACACCCTGCAGGCATGCGCCCCTTCATGATGCCCGTCTTCTTCTACGGCGGCCAGATCAGCAAGGCGCTGGAGAGCGCCAGCCTGAACGCGGCGCAGCAGGTGGCCCTCACCGAGATCCGCTCCCTGCTCACCTGGCTGCTCATGCAGCTGGGGGTGGTGAACCGCGAGCAGGCAGACGTGCTGCTGCGCTTCCAGCCGCTGCCCAGGCCTTCCACGCTGGACCACCGCGCGGGTGAGCGGGGCGGGGCGGGGCGGGGCGGGGCGCAGCGGCCCGCGTGCCCCCCCGTCTTCCCATTGGGGCTCATCTGGCAGCAGGGAGCCCAGTGCCTCTTACCAGCAGCTCAGCCGCGCCCTGTCCGGCCCCGCCACCTCTTTTGAGGCTGCGCCTGCCACCCGCCCAGACCCCTCCCGCCACCCGCCCCAAGCTCAAGCCCTCCATCCTGCCTCCCCCTGCCTGCCCCTGCAGCCCGGTCTGCGGGCGTGGACGAGGTGGTGAAGCTGCTCAAGGCCCTGCAAAGCCTGCAGGCGCGCGTGCCCGACGACGCGGCGCGGCGCAACCGCTGGATGGCGGCGGTGGGGGTGCGGGGCAACCTGGAGAAGCTGGTGCGCATCCTGCGGCAGGAGGCCAAGGTGAGGTGGGGCTGGGAGGCAGGGGCTGGGCTGGCTGGGAGGGGCTGGGGGTGGAGATGCGGCGCAGCGCTGCTCCAGGCCGGGCCGGGCCGCGGCTGGGTGGGCGTGCTTGTGTGCAAGGGAAGGGAGGGGGGATCTGTGGGTTGCTGGTATGGTGCTGTGCGGCTCAGTGGCACCCTCACGCCCCCTTGACACACACACACCGCAGGCCGTCCTTGACGAGCATCGCAAGCCACCTGTCAGCGCCGCAGACACCAACCCCGGGCGCAGGATGCACAAGCAGGCCGCAGAGCTGCTGGAGGTGAGGCGGGGCAGGAGGGGGCTGCGGAGGGGCGGCTGGTGGAGGCCTGGGACAGGGCGGCCCTCGCCACACCTTCCGGACCCGTGTCGCCGCGCCATGCATCGCCTACCGCGCTGTTCCCGAACCGGCTGTCCCGTCTCCTCAACAACAATACCTGCGCTGCGCTGTGCCATGATGTGCTGTGCCGTGCTGTGCCATGATGTGCCATGATGTGCTGTGCTGTGCTGTGCCGTGCTGTGCCGCGTGCAGGTTCTGAACGAGGTGGAGGTGGACAGGCTGGACCGCTGGCGGTGGCAGGCGTATGTGGGGGAGGAGGCGGCGCTGGATGTGCTCTACCAGGAGACCCCCGACACGCCCTCCAAGCGCTGCCTGGCCAAGGTGGGCTGCCGGGGCCCTACCGATGGTGCCGCGCTGCTGCGCGTGGGCAGGGGGTGCCCCCTCATCTCCCCTGCCATCCGGGGCGCCGTGCTTTCCGTTACGGGCTCCCCTCCTCCACGCACCACACATGCGCGCATGCGCCCCCGCCCTCCTCCCCTGCAGGTCGTCAAGCAAGTGGCCAAGATGCTGCAGACGAGCGCCAAGGGGGCGCAGCCGCGGGGCGAGGAGGCGCAGCGCGTGCTCTCCGTGTTTGCCGCCTCTCTCAAGAACCCAACCCTGGTGAGCAGGCCGGCTGGGTGGTGGCGGTAGGGCGTCATGGGGTCGAGCAGGGCGCCTGCTTTCTTGCCGTGCCCGCACCCCTGCCCGCCTGCTTTTTGTGCCCCCGAGGGTACTCGAGTGCTCGACGCCTGCTGGCGTGTGCTGCACCGGCCAGCCGGCCGGCGCCGCAGCCTCCCCACGGCACCCCTACCTCCCATCGAGCCTCTGCCCCGCCTGTGCCCTGCCAGCCTCCCCTGCCGTGCCACCGCCCACCTTTTTTATTTTGAACCCACCCATCCTCTCCTCCCCACCTTCCAAGCGTCTCCCCCGCAGGAGACCCCGCCCTCGATCGAGGACATGCTGAGCTGGAACACGCTGACCCCGCACTACGAGGAGGACGTCATCTACGCCCTCAACTCGGTGTCGGTGGCCAAGCACTTTGGCATGGACGCGGTGGCGGCGCGGGTGGGTGGCGGCGGCGGTGGCGGCTGCTGTTGGTGCTGGTGGCGCGTGTGCCGGTGTGTGTGGCTGGTGTGTGTGTGCGTGGGTGGGAGGTGGGGATGGATCAGGCTGCTGAGAGTTGCAGAGGACGCAGGTGCTGAGGTTGGCCGGCAGTGAACAATGGTGGCGAGGTGCGGGTGCTGGCATGCACCTGCCTGCCGAGCCAAGCCCCTTCCTCCCCGGCCCACGTCCCCTGCCCCCTGCGCGCTGCCACCTGTGCCCTCCCCCGAACAAGCAGGGCATGAGCGACCTGATGCGTGAGAACGAGGACGGCGTGAGCGTCATGCAGTGGCTGCGCAGCGCCTACCCGTCCGACTGGGACAACCTGCTGGAGCGGCTCAAGCCCAAGCTGGGCGGGCTGGACCCGCGGTGAGTGGCGCTACGGTGGGAGGGGGTTGTGAAGGGAGGGCTGTTGGGGAGGGGGTGCTCTGGCACGCTCTGAGAGAGGGGGGGCGTGGCAGGCTGGGAGCACGGGTTGTGGGGCGGGCCTGACGGATGGCCTGGTGGTTGGTGGTTGTGCGCCTGGGGCAGACCTCCACCTCAGCACCATCACAGCCCACACGCCCGCACCACCACATCAGCCGCGCCTCTCCCCACAGTCTCGCTGCCCCCTTGCCATGTACCCCACCACTCAAGGCATTGTACCCTGCCGCCCCGCCCCTCCCTCATGCCCCCCCCCCCCCCTGCAGCCACGTGACGGACGCGGACTTTGATGTGGGCGGCCCGCTGCACCACGTTCAAATGGAGCTGCTGCTGTGGGCCTCCTACCGCGGCCAGCTGCTGGCTCGCACCGTCAGGTGGGGTGGGGTGGGGTGGAGGGGGGGCGGGGGCCACGCTGTGGGGAGGTGCGTGCAAGATGGAGGGCTTGGTGTGTGGTGGTGTGGGGAGGGGTTCCACCAGCTGGCCACCTCTGATCGCACCTCGTACCTACCGTACAGGTGGTTGTTTTCCACAGAACAACTATCGTCTTTTTAAAGTCGTTTTTACTTTTTTGGTTCCGACTGCCTCCTGTCCCTCCCTGCCTCCGCCCCTGCCTCTCCCTGCCAGGGGCATGATGGCGTACGAGAAGGCGATCCGCCTGCTGGCCCACCTGGAGTGCCCGCAGCCCCCCGGCATGAGCGACGTCAAGTATTTGTCCCTGGTGGACGACGTCTGCCGCTCCAAGTTCACATACGTGGTGGCCAGCCAGGTGGGTGGGGAGACGGGGCATGGGGTGGCTGCAGCTGCTGGTGGTGGGTTGGGGCTGGGCGGGGATGGGTTCTCCACACACCTCTCCACACACACGGCCTCGTTGGCCTCACGAAATCGGCATGTGCGACCCCTTAGCCCATCCCCGCGCATGCCCCACGTCCCACACACGCCCTCCCCGCCCCCCACACACCCCAGGTGTACGCCGCCAACCGGTACAGCAGCAGCCCCAAGGGGCGGTGGCTGGCGCGCGGCGTGGACATTTTGCTGCACCAGTACCCCAGCCTGCGGGTGGCCTTCATCGACACCTTCCACGGCCAGGCGGGCAGCCAGCAGTACACGGTGCTGATCCGGGGCCAGGTGGGCACGCCTGCCAGCGACCCCGAGGGCACGCAGGAGCTGTACAGGTGGGCTGG